TGGCCTTGTTAACTACCTTCCCCCTCCCTCCCATCGGCTGGCAGGTGCGTGGCCTTGTTAACTACCTTCCCCCTCCCTCCCATCGGCTGGCAGGTGCGTGGCCTTGTTAACTACCTTCCCCCTCCCTCCCATCGGCTGGCAGGTGCGTGGCCTCGTTAACTACCTTCCCCCTCCCTCCCATCGGCTGGCAGGTGCGTGGCCTCGTTAACTACCTTCCCCCTCCCTCCCATCGGCTGGTCGGTGTGTGCCGCATTAACCCCACTCTCTCTCCCCCTGTGTTGGTTGGCGGCTCTGGCGCGGGATCCCCTCCCGGATTAAATATTAAAATAAAATGTAAAAAAGTATTAAAAATATGAATGTTAAATATTGAATATTAAATAACCGGTACTCCGGTATTTTAGTTTTTCTCCCCGGGCGTGCGAGATGCGAGTGCGTGAGCTTCCACCAGCTCTAGGTGGCAACATTCCAATACGGAGCGGGAACGGTTGCACGTTTGCGAAGCATTCTGATTGAATTATATTGAATTGTTCGAGTGGCTGCTGGATTTAGTGTAATACAGCAAATATCGTATCTATTTCGCTTGCTGTATTAGATATATATACAGCAAATATCGCACTCGTCGATTGCTGGGTGCGCGGCGTTGAGAAGGGCGGAACTACGCACCCGCGCACTGTTGATTACCGTTGCTCGTTGCAGGCGTTGCACTGCCGTCTGGCGGCGGTGAGCCCCACGTCGGACAACTGGGAGCAGGACGCATGTCGTCGGTTTGAGGAACTCGTCTGTGGGAAGACGCTGAGAGCACAACTTGATCGGGTGACGAAGCATTTTTGACGTACTCTCTGGCATTCTGTTGGTGCCGGCGTGGCTGCGAACTTTGTTTCTATGTTCAGATTGTTTTATCAGATGATTGTTTGTTTTTTGGCCAGTGTTTTTTTGTGTGGATGTCTGTTAAAACACCGTGTGCGTATGGCAGTGAATTTAAACACGTGATTGCCATTGAGTAATTTTGCTCAATAATGAGCAATTTACTTGATCAATTTTTTATGCTAAAACTGCATGATGATGAATTCTATTAAAAACCCGGAGTTAATCCTCATGTTGTAATCGTTGTTTCATCTACAGATTGAAGTTCTGGAGTCGGGTCTACAGGTAGCACATGTTTCCCTGTACAATGGCAGTACGAGTATATCACAGCAGCTAGTGGAGGGTGGCTATGCCAAGCCCTGCAATACAGGTACAGACTCGTGAAATTTTCTTCAGTACAGACTACAGAAATTTGATCTGTATTCGTTCTTTAGGAATTTGGACCCTGTTACTGCTTAACTAAAGCTAGTCTGTCTCCTTGTAGTTTTCAGCGTGTATATTGTTAACTTGAGTGTTAAACTGTGGTTTTTCAGGTGCGGAGGGCGATGGGGAAAAGTGCGCCCCGAAAGACGGTACAAAACCATGCAAGGATGATAAAGGTATCGAAGCATCGAATCTTGACACATATATATATATATAAATCCACCCTCAAGTGAGGTGTGTTGTTAGGCGAACCCAAGGTGCTATGCTCTAAGCAAATATTCTTGTTAGTTTCTGTGTAAAAGTATGTGCAAAATAATTACAGTATTAAGAGTGGGCATGGCTGACAATGTCGAAAATCTTTACTATATTAGGGCGCCACTCTCACAGTTTCACGTTATACACAGCTACCCTGGGTTAAAGAGTTGCAATTTACCACTGCTGAGAGTACCGAGTTAATAACTTTCGTAATGTAATCTCTTCTAAATGTGTTTGGACATGTGATGTGAAACATATTTTTATATTGTGTGCATGCTCCCCAGCATGCACATGCCAATAAACATTTCTTCCCTCACAGGATCGGGAGATGCCGAAAGCGTGGAGCCGGTGAATAGTTTCGACAGCGCATGAAGGGAATGACGACGCGACAAGTGAGCATGCCACGCCATCGGGACAGTGTCATCGCCTCGTCGGACCGCGCACGGATGATGGCTGACCCCCTCGCGCATTCCCCCTGTGATGGTGAATATACCTACCTACGCCTTGCAAGCCGAGTTCCGATCAGCAGCAGTAGCAGCGTTTATATCCGTGAGTTGCGTGAGCTTGCTATTTTCGATCCTCGCAAAATACTGCGTGCGAGTTTGGTATGTTGGAAGTGTGCTGGGATGTACGTAGGAGACACCGATTCCCACGGTCAGAACTCAACAAATGAGATGTGTGTTGCCCAGGAAACACCAGTTATTGCACTTGAACTCCATGTTTGTTTTTTCAACGTCAAATTATGCATTTCGAGTGGAGTGTGATTGCCAGAATGACCTCATGAGTTTAATGTGAAATCTATCGAGGACTCTGTAGGAGACCATAACATTGTGCTGATCGATATTATATGACGCAACGTGATTCAACCTTATTGTATAAGCTAAATTTTTTCCTCGCGTTTGATTAGTTAAAGTTGTTTAGTTGTTATAGTCATTAAATTGCAGTTATAATACTTCTCTGTTTCTACAATATACCTATCGCATATTTACGTATAGTCACCGATGGTTGCAGTGCTGCTGCATAGATTGTGTAGCCTGAAATGTCATTATCAGTTGTCTATAAGCGAAATCGGATAGACGTTTACTTTTATAAGCTCATTCTTTTTGTTAATAAGGTTAGTCATGTCCATGAACGAATCCAAGGTGACCACTCAGGGTTGCTCGCAATGATGATTATTCACCCTTGAAAAGTTGGTAACATTTTCAAAATCCAGTGCTAAAATTTGTTTGTCATATGCAATCAATGTAAAATCATACGCATTCTCATGTACCAAGGTGAAGGTATGGGATAGCATATGAATCAGTGTTGCTTTCAATTGCTCATCATAGTTGAAATGTATGGAAAGTCGTTTTGTATTATTATCAAGTGAAGAGCCTATGGGTAAATACAGGAGCCGACGACGAAATGTTGAATTTAACAGTTTAGTTTCCATTTGAAAGGCATTTTTTCTTTGTAAAACAGCTACTGTATTGCCATAAATAATTGCAATGGCCTACGCTGGTTTGACAACTGTTTACTTCAATTATCTCATAGAACGTTATATTGTAATATGCATCTATTTAATAAAGTGTATTCACATTTAATAACGGTGTTATTTGATAATGATTATTTCAATGTGCGAAAATGTAAAAAGTAAGAACAGTCCCACAGTCCTTGAATTTTGTCATTTGTCTTTGAAAGTCCTTAATTTCTCCTTTTGTCATTGAAAGTCCTTAATTGGAAGTAGTTCCAAGTCCTTATTTTATGTCTAATATCCTGGAGTTATACATTTTTGACCTAAAATAAAAAGCAAATCTTCATTGCTGGTTATCTGACTGACCCTATTCCAAGTCTTGGATAAAAATGTTAAATTTAATCCAAAATTGGAAATACACACTGAGTAATAAATGAAAAATTATTATAATAATCAGCATATAGTTACGATCCCTTCCCATGCCACCCATGACTAAAAAGGGGGAAAACAAACTAGTTTTAGCAGATACTGTTCCGTGAATTTTTGGATTAAATTTAATATTATTTGTTATTTGTTATTATTTGTAAAGATTTGGGACATGGAGAATATGGGCCTTAATGGTTTCTTCTATGGGTTGGAGGCTGAATAAGATCTTTAATTTCACCAGCTCAGCAAGTACTATTAGCAAGAAATTTATAGAGAAAGGATTGCTCTCATTGAATTAGGGTGTAAAACCACTATTTTTAGCTCATCGGACGTAGTCAGATGCAGCTTGTAGAATCGCATGATTGTCCGTCTGTCCGTCCGGCCGTCAGGCTGTGCGTGCGTCAACAGTTGGGCACAAGTCTTAACCGCTCGACGTACGGTCACGATATTCGGGACGTCGGAGGGGGGGGATCGTGAAAAGGACTCGGGATAACAAATTTGGGGGTCAAGGGTCAAAGGTCAAGATGTGTAAACGGAGGGGGAATATTTCCCCCTTAACTTAAGGTATAGGAGGAAATACGGAATTGCGGCACAAATCTTAACGGCTCGACCTATGCTCTTAATATTCGGTGTATAGTGTGATGGGCAGAAAACCCATCACTAGTGCGAAATTGGAGGTCACAGGTCAAAGGGCAGTGGGGGAAAGGTCAGATATCAGACATTTTCTGAGGACATGGCCTAATGGACAGAGTGAAAAACTTTTTTGTTTCAGCGCTGACCTACCATTTTTATCACTTTATTGAAAGGACCATGAAATGTGCTAAGTAAGTGTCTGATAACCTTTTGACCTTCAAGAGGAGGGTTAAACATGGATTCCTGAACTGCCTCAATGATGTCAGTGTTCTCATATTCATGGCACATCCATAATCTAGAAAGCCAATAAGCCTGGATAGCCCAACGGGTACAGCACAGGATTACAAAAGTCCTTGGATCGAATCCCATCAGATTTTTTATTATTTAGCTGTTTTCTGTATTTTTCTATCTTTATCCATTTAACTATTTTTTCCAATTAACGCAAATATTTACATGATTTATTTACAACAGTATTGATAGACTCCTGATATATATATATAGCGCCCGAGGAAGAGATAAAAATTGCACGAGAGAGAGATACAGAGAGAGTGAGAGAGTGTGTGTGTATGTGAGTGTGTGCGTTCGTGCCTGCGTGCATGCGTGCGTGCGTGGAGAGTGTCTGAGAGAGAAAGAGAGAGAGAGAGAGAGAGAGAGAGAGGGTGAGAGTCACGGAGAGGGAGAGGGTGAGCGGGAAGGCGAGAGAACTAACTATATTAGGAGAAATATGTCCATGTACTGAAGACAGTCATTTTCATAGAGAAAAAATCTGACGAATGCAAGTGTTGAGCAGTTAAAATA